CACCTAAACTTATAAAATACGATAATGTAAAAATCCTCTAAGAAGCAAAATAAAGTTACTATTGTATAAAAATTTTAGAACTTTCAGTTAAGAAATAAAGAAACCTTTTCCTTACACATTGCTGTGAACTGGAAATTTCACACCTTTATGTGAATTGCGAGGCCCTGGGCTGGGATGAAAAATATTCTTTTAACCATATATCCAAACAAAAACAAATCTTGCAATTAATTAAAATTAAGAGAACTAGATTATAAAGGAAAAGGAAAAAAAATTAAATTATTTTAATATTAAAACCACATGGTAAAAAAAGGAGAAAAGTTAGTAAACTAAACTTTTTATAAGACAAGACAAAAAAGGAAACATTAGTTAAGGTACAAGGTTCATTCATCACCGAATGAAAGACGGTGTTGAATTGTATTAATAAACAATCGCCTTTCTTGAGATCTGATCTGGTCCAGTTTCACCTGGTAACAAAGAAAGACCAATCAGGGACCAAAAAAGGAGATTAATAACCAATAAAGCAATGATTTCCAAACCACAAAATATTTAAGCCCAGGCCACAAGGACACTTGGTTCTTTGCCATGGCATACCATGGTGATATGTCCCTTGCTGGGGTGTTTCCTGCAAGGTCCATCTTTGTTCTTTGCTGATGTATCCTCTAAAAGTTATAGACCTTTGTTGAGAGAAAATTCAGAAATTCTGATCGGCATTCACCAGACAACATCTCCTGTTCAAGAACTGGTCTTAGAATGCACCATCTGGTCATCAATAGAAAACCACCCTCATCACCAAACTTTCCTCCTCTTCTTTTGAAGACTGTGGAACCAAAATCTACAGGGACTTCAATCCTTCATGAAAAATACTATTGACTTTTATTGTAAGTTAATTGTCTAATAAACGGGTTGTGTTGTTTGTAAATGAGTCATCAATCTCTGACTCAATCACTCCCACATGTCGTTGATTGTTACCACTTGGCAGTCCAGACAGCAATACAGACAATAAAGATATATCTCATATTATCATTATTTGTATGAAATTTCTTCCCCCTCGGCCCCTCACAGAATTGATGTTATACTGTCAATTCACATAAAGCTATAAAATTTCAAATTCACAGAAACTTGTAAATAAAAAGGCATTACTTAAAACCAATAAACAAACAACTTTTAATATCAAAAGGAAACATAATTAATCTGTGCACCTGTCTTGCTTATTTAGATCTTGACAAAGTCATTGTTTCGCCTTCAGTGGTAGTTTTGAGGACAATAGTAGGAATAAAATACCATATTTTGTTGCAAAAAAAATTCATTGACAATTGATAATTTAAAATTTATTGACTCAAGTGCTTTTAAAATTTGGGGACCAAAAAATAGTACAATGTACTGAGGAGTTACTGTACAAAAGAATGTGGTATGCAAATGGTGAAACTTTTTTTCAAGTTCTTTAGTTGTATTTAAAATAATATTGTCATAATTAAACTAAAATAATCATTTTATATCCAAAAATATAAAGATGGTATTTACAATCAATACAGAGACTCTCACTTATCTCACACTACACTTATGCTCTTTTTATCTTTTATTCGATAAAACAAAGAATTAAAATCTCACAGGCATTCATGATCCTGCAATCAGTTTGATAACTCTAGACTCCAAAGCAATGTCCCAACTTGCCACCACTACCAATGCCACATTCCAAGTCATCATCATATGACATGGCACAAAGGCATTTGCTAATTGGATGTGCATTTGCAATTGGTATAAGTAGAACTAACTTTTGGTTTCTAATTGCAGTTGATGTAGCACCAGTTTTAGGAGAGAGTTTACTAGATATTGGGAACAGCCATTGCAGTTGCCTGCAAGACTGGAAATTGTAAGAGGATACAGTATGTCAGCCCTGTAGCAATAGTTATCTCTGCCAGATGGTACTGTACTTGTGTCCACAAAGTGGTTTACAAAATGGCATTGCTTATATCAAACTCCATTAAAATAGATCAGCAAGCCATTATTTAACTTTTGGTAACCAAAGATATTAGACCTAGTACAATCCATCGCAAGATGTATGCACAACATGGAGTGTTGTGCATGCTGAAACCAGTTTAGTAATTTAAAGATAGTAAAAGCAAAATATTTATATTTAAGTGTAATTAATAGATATTCTACTAAGAATACAATAATAAAACTGATAATGTTTAGAAATGGATTTTTATTGTGTTTTAGTCAATTCTTTTAAATTAGATATATAGATATCCCTTCATTAATGTGTTTAATTTATCCCTTGATCCTACAGCGTATATTAAAATCATATTAATTTAATCAAAATACAGTATCTATGTTAAGTAAAGACAGCTGGTCACATAAACTAAAACTTCTGCCGTCTATATGAAGAGATTGCTACAATTAATTTCACATATTATTCAAATCCCACATTAAGCAAGGAATACACACACATATCTATATAAATAAAAATGTAAATTTTATTTATATAGATATTTAGTTTAATTAAGTTAGAATTAATTAAATTAGAATTAAGTTGCACTACATTGTGTTGGATAAACAATAAAAATGTAAATGTTCGTTTGTTCAAAATCTTAAATCTCCAAAAGTTCTTAACCAATTACTTTGAAATTTTGACACAATGTTGCATTTGAATATGTACCTGTTTTTATATTATATAGATGTCAAACCCCCCTGCTGGGGAGAGGGACAAAATTAAGGCTTAACGTAAAGAACTTGGCTTCTATTGTACTATTTTAGATGCAGTTTTTGCATTTTTGATTGCGTTTTAATAGAGTGCATCAAGAGAATGTACACTAAGAAGGGATATTTCGAAATTCCCTCCTGTGGGGAGTGTTATACATTTATAATAGATACATTTTGAGCCACAGCAATGCATAGCTGGTTAAAGCTAGTATTATAATATATATATAAAATAAAATGTATTCTGCAGATACGTATAGAGAGGGGTCCCAAGTATGGCAACGATGTTTGTACCATTGAAAATTCTCTTTTGCTGCATAATGTGGTACTTGGAAACAGTGATTTCTTTACCATATTGAGCATGTGCGTAAATTTTGCACGTGAAAAGCCAGCAGTGCGTACTAGCAGTCCTTCCATAAAATGTATTAATAAACAATTCCAAAACAAATCTCTGCCTGTTAAATGACAATATATGAAACAAAGATGCAAGATCCATGAATTTTCACATTTGTCGAAAATTTGAATTTGTCAAGGAATTGTAAACAAATTCGACAGCAAAACAATCTTGGTAAGAATTAGAACAGAGGTTACTTTTAGTCATAACAATCCGATGGGAAAATTGACTCATAAGTGTCAACTTGGCACTGTAACTGTCAACATTGGACGAACATGTGACTTGCTTTCCCATGGTGAAAGAATAAGAGATGGCCACAGAAAGCACGAGGAGAGAGTGAGAGCAACTAATCAGGACATTAATTTAGTAGTTGTGTGTATTTCATCTCCCAGACCTCCATATTAAGACAGGACCCAAGAAGAGGAGAAGACACAGATTGGAAATGCATCTGCGACAACCACCCGTCCATACAAAGGAAGTTCTCCACATCAACTCTCCAATATGCCTAAGAGGTATTTAAAAAGGGGGTCTAAACTTGTAAACTCTCTCCACAGAAAAACTTAGAACAGGGAAATTAGGTCAAGCACACATTTAGTAAAGACTATTTATTCAGTACTCCACGTGATAGGAGCATGCGTAACCGCACTTATTCATGTATAGCTCTGTATATTCTAGATTTAGTTTTATAATAAATTTTATAATTTTGCTATGTTAAAAATTGTCTTTTGTTTGTCCACGGACCCCTGCCGACTTACCAATGCACTCCCCCACTCGATTTGCTCTCCTAACCATCCAACAAGCTCAAGATCAGGTTTTACCATCCCGTGCAGATTAAGTGGTCAGAAGGGAATAACCCCTGACCCCCTGCTTATCTCACAAAGATGTTTGACAAGACAAATGTTGCTTTAACTAATTCTTATCTAATAATTTTTACTGAATTTCCTATATCACAATGCAGTTCGTAGTAATGCAGAATTGAATAGCATTTAGTGCGATTCCCAACCAGGGGTATGTGCTTAGTGGTTTAGGGGTACTAAGTTTCACAACACCTTTCTTTCTTTTTTCTAGCAATTTCTTTAATGTAACTAACATTTTCATATTTATTTATTTAATTCAAATTTTTTGTAAAACCATGACATCATAAGAATGCAAGCAAATCTTGATATTTTAAATTTATGTTCTGATTTATATTCTAACTGACATTCCATTTTTGTTTGACTTGAAAACCATTTAAAGTAGGCAAAAACGTTAGTTACATTAAAGAAATTGCTAGAAAAAAAAAAAGGCATTGTGAAACTTATATAATACTATGCATATGTAGCTAGAACTATTTCTAAGACTAACAGCACAAAACCTTTCTCACTAATTTCTAGCCTTATTAACTGGAGTACAAACGTTTTCGGCCTTCTTAATAGGCCTTCCTCGGGTACACTGTGGAGCGTCGGTTAGAAGAAGTTTAAATGCTGCCAATGTTTACCCAGGTGTCGTCTTACCCGTGACGTCTTCGTCGATGATAGGTATACGANGTTTTGTGCTGTTAGAAACTTATATATATATCTAGTTTACTGTGCCTAGATTCAGGGGTACACAAAAAAAAATTAATAATGGCAAACATACTATGAAGATATTTGGATTCTGCTTTAAGGCCTTTAACAACGTCACAGCACTCTATGCTTATTTTTAAATAAAAACATAATTTTATTTTTATTATATCTGTCTGTGTCCTCCCTCACAATTTTCAATTTCAAAATAATTTTTTACATGTAATTGTACAGTACTGTATAACTGACCAAGGAGCCACTGTTTGACAAAAATAAAATTAAACTTAGAAAAAATGAGAAACTGCTTATTGTATTAATAAAATAATAATTGAATAAAAGTATCAATAATAAAACCTAAACAAACATACCTGTTTAAGTGTCATCTTATTCCCTTTTTCTTCACAAACAATGTCATTAGCATGATTTTTTAACGTTTTCTTTATAAATCTTAACAAATGTTTCTGATTCATACAAGATGCTGCATGAACATGAGTATCAACCTGTAATAAATGTAATTTTTAAACAACTTCAAATATTTTCTTCATATCCTTATTAACCTATAATAAATGTAACAAATTTAATTTGAAATATTAAATATAAAAACAATTCTCTATATGACTATACAATAGAAAAACTGACAACTTTAATATCAGAAACAGGAAAATAAAACTAACACCTTATAGCATTCCAGCAATTATTTTATGTAACCAATCACATTTTTAATCCACCCTAATAAATCTTCAGTTGCACTAATATATATATATAAAAATGGACATGTATGTCCCTATATCTCACTTTTTCGCCAAAACTACACATCGCACGTGAATGGTGTTTGTATGTGGTGGTAGCCCCAAATCTCCATTCGTGCATAGGGATGGTTGCGTCTCGATAGCTATAAGGGTGCGGGAGATATGAGGCTGAAAGTGGTTGAAAGTGGCTTTCTATTTCGAATGTTTTGTTCGAATTTTTCGAATTTGTTCGAATTAAATTC